CAAGACACTTACCGCTCCGTCGAACAGACGCTCAAAATGCATTGGTGGATACGGTAATCTATGTAGAGCAGCCGCACACATGCGGTGAAGGGGATTCACGTGTCTTTCAGCTATGACGATCCCTTCACGGTGTCAAACAGGCGCCGAGGCTCTGGCAGCATGCAGTTCTTCGTCTCTACGCCCAACGTTGGGCTCTGCTACTCAACAATAACAACCCCGTCCTTCAGCCTTAAAGGCTACGTGGACGCCAATCACGCTACTGACCCCGACAATCGACAGGACCAATTATGTGGAACTCGCAGAAGCAGGAGCTGGTTGCCCTGTCATCGGCTGTAGCTGAAAGTTTGTCGCCGCGACAGCAGCAGTTCGCGAAGGCCTTATCTGGCCTTACCAGCTTCACCAGCCTTCAGCCTGTACTGCGACAACCAGAGCGCGATCCGACTTGCAAACAATCCAGGACTTGTCAATCGCACCAAGCACATTGCGCTGCGATACTTCTTCGTCAAAGACGAAGTGGACAAGGGGAAGGTTGACCTAACCTACTGCCTAACATGTGACATGGCAGACGGCCTCCTCACGAAGCGACTGCCCCATCAGCAGTACCAGCACTGCTCAGAACTCAGCAGAGTAGTCAAACCCATTTTATCACACCCCTGCTGCACTAAATTAGTACATATGTTGTGTCGATAACAATATTAGTGGACTGAATCAATTCATACTGGAAGTAACCGTTATGCCCACGCAATGAATATGCCTATTGCGGGTGTGTCATGAACCACTGATGTATGTTGTTTTCGAACAACATCCTATCAATTCTGACATAATTATTCCATACGGACTATAAGCTGCGATCACGCAATGTAGTAGCATATTATACACCAAGTGTATGGTGCCAACGGAAATAGTGGTGCGCGTGAACCAGCAAAAGTATATGATAGTTCATGTTTCTATCAATAATGTTGGCTGTACATTTTTTGTACCTCACTCTCAGATCTCACACCGCAACCTTGTATGTGGTGCATCATTCAAATCTTGTTTGCGCTCAATACCCATCTCGACCTGACAAAAAAGATTTGTTACCGTTGAAAAACGTGAACAATCTAATTGAGTCGCATCCAAATGAACTAGAAGGGTGTGGCGTTAGGGTGTGCGCTTACGCTTCGAACAAACACTAAGCTGTGCTATCAAAACGCCACACACGTCGACCGTGACATGAAAGTCTGCAGCTTGGACGGTGTTGCGCAACTGGCGCGACCATCCCATCCCATCACATTCGACCATCCCACCCCTTCTCTTTCTCCCATCAACAACCACCTGTCAAACTCATATACTATAGTCTGTGTAGGCTGTAGTGGGGTAGCTTACATGGGGTACAACACTTTAGGGTTTGGTACTTGTACTCCTCATGCTGCTCAATGCATCCATTCCTCGTTTCTTCACATGATATCGAGCAGGTTCCCTAGTGGGAATGTCAGAATATTATGCTCTAGCCTGTAGTGGGGTGCTCTGTAGCGAGTACAACCCTTCTAGGGTTTGCTATTTGTATCCCCATTCTTGCTAGTGCAACCCCTCTCTTTCGCCTAAACTCTCTTGCCTAGCTAGGACTCTCCTAGCTATGGCTCCTAAGACTACCGCTTATCTCAACATGGCATCAGAGCTTAACGTTCCTGGCCTGTGGGCCCACTTCACTGCTTCCGCTGCTACTGCTACTCCCTGTCCGCCGCGCGCCCCGTGGTGCGCGGCGTCGAAACTAGGGTTTTCAGCCCGCCGTGCGCCCCGAGGCGCGCGGCGGTTTTCTGCCCGCCGTGCGCCCCGAGGCGCGCGGCGGTTCTCTGCCCGCCGTGTGCCCCGAGGCGCGCGACGGGTTCCTGCCCCGTCACTCGGCACGTCGCCCCCGGGAGGCGCTGCGACGGGCGACGGGGACCCGCGCGTCGCCCCCCGTCGCCCGTCGTGGCCTGCGCGCGGCCCGTACACCCGGCGCGCGGCCCGTACGGGCTGCGCCAGGCCCGCGCGCGGCCCGTACGGGCTGCGCCAGGCCCGCGCGCGGCCCGTACGGGCTGCGCCAGGCACGCGCGCGGCCCGTACGGGCTGCGCCAGTCCCGCGCGCGGCTCGGACCGCCTGCGCGCGGTTCGGGAGGCTGTGCCAGGCCCGTGGGCGCCCCGTTCTTCGCTGCCCCTGTCCTCCCCGCTGTCCCCCGTGCTTCTGAAGGCGCCCCACCCCTCCTTCTGCCCGTTCTCCTGGATTAGGGTTTGGGGTTGGGGGGTATGGGGGTGCAGCTTCTGTGTGCCGTTCCCTGCTCCTCCTCCTCCTCCTCCGTCTCCCTGTGCTGCAGCTGCCGCTGAGGGGGGTGGACCTGTTGGAGCCGTCGGAGTGGTACTAAGGGGGGGTGAAGGGGGAGTGGAGCTAGCGGTGTAGCAGCGGGTGTGTGTCGAGGGATGTGGGACTGTTGGGGGAGGTTGAGGGGAGGTTGCCGTCGTGTCGTACGCAGCGCCTGTACTCCGGGGCACTCACTCCCGGTAGCTCAGAGAGCCGGTTGCGCCGTCGCCTGTGGGTCCGTTGCTCCTGCTGCTCGTCTTAGCCGCGGAGCCTGTTACTCCTGTACTCCTAGGGCCCACCACGAATTTTTTTTCCTGCCCGGAGCGCGCTTTGCTCCTGCCCGAGTCGCGCCCCGTGTGCCCTCCCTACCGTCGCGCCCTCTCTTGGCCCCTCACGGCCCCTTCGCGTCGCCCTTAGCGGCCCCTCTCACGGCCCCTCGCGCCGCCCTTACGGCCCCTCGCGCCGCCCTTACGGCCCCTCGCGCCGCCCTTACGGCCCCTTACGGCCCCTCGGGCCGCTTGTCGGCCCCTCGCGTCGCCCTTCGCGGCCCCTTACGGCCCCTCGCGCCACCCTTACGGCCCCTCGCCCGGCCCCTTACGGCCCCTCGCGCCGCCCTTACGGCCCCTCATGCGGCCCCTTACGGCCCCTCGCGCCGCCCTTCACGGCCCCTCGCGGCCTCTTCACGGCCCGTCGCCGCCCTCCGCGGCCCCTCGCGCCGCCCTTCACGGCCCGTCGCCGCCCTCCGCGGCCCCTCGCGCCGCCCTTCACGGCCCCTCCGCCGCCCTCCGCGGCCTCTCACGGCCCTGTCGCCGCCCTTCGCGGCCCGCCGTCGCCGCCCCTGCAGCAGCAGCAGCAGTCGCAATCCCTCCAGCAGCAGCCGCTGCCGTCCCGGCACCAGCAGCCGCCGCCGTCCCTGCAGCGGAAGCCGCAGCTGCAGCAGCCGTTACCAGCAGCAGCCGCCGCCACCTGCCTCGGGACCGCAGCCGCCGCCGCCGCTGACTGCAGTCGCCGGTGCGCCTCGGCCCTACTGACGCGCCTCGGCCCGCCTCTGCTGGTGCGCCTCGGCCCTACCTGCGCGCCTCGGCTCGTCCCTGCCGGTGCGCCTCGGCCCTGCCCCACCACTTGCGGCTCTCTGCCCTGGTAAGAGTGTCGCCGCACTGCGCTGTCACTACTGCCACTGCTGCTACTGCTGCCACTGCTGTCATGGCTACCCCTAGCGTCCTTGTCTTTGATGCTGAGGGTCGGGCTGTTGACTTTGAGGTCTGGGTAGATGATCTGCAGCTTTTCCTACAGTGCGATAGGGCAGACGGTCTCTCCCTCTTTGACCTCACTTCTGGTGCCTCTCCTTCCCCTACTGCTGATGCTGACGCCACTGTTCGCTCACAGTGGGCCACGCGCGATGCTGCTGCCCGCCTTGCTGTGCGCCGCCACTTGCCGACCGCTGAGCGTGCGCACTTTAGTCAGTACAAGAGTGCTAAGACCTTGTACGACGCTGTAGTTGCACGCTACTCTTCCCCTGCCACTGCTGCGCTTAGCCGCCTCATACTGCCGTACCTCTTCCCTGACCTCGCCGCTTTTCCCACTGTCGCTGACCTCATTACGCACCTTCGCACTAGTGACATTCGCTACCGCGCTGCGCTTCCTGCTGAGTTCTGTGCCAAGAACCCCCCCCCCCATGTACATCACCCTCTACTACATAGTCACCCGGCTCCCTGACACCCTTCGCTCGGTCAGGGACCACTTTCTCTCTGTTTGCCCCACCACTCTCACCGTTGACCTCCTCGAGGAGCGTCTCCTAGCAGCAGAGCAGAGCATAGTTGCTGTAGGAGCCTCTCGTGGTGACCCTCGTACCCCTGTCTTTGAGGGGTGCTCCCCCTCCCCCCTCTTGCCCTCTGTTGCCTCTGCTGCTGCGGCCGACCCCGTTGGTGTTGAGTCGGTCGGTGCGGCGTCTACCCCTAGCGGGAGACGCCGCTCAGGCAAGGGCAAGGGGGGCAAGGGCGTTGGGGGAGCTGGCGGAGGCGGTGGAGGCGGCAGTGGAGGAGGCGGAGGGAGTGGGGGTGGCGGTGGGAGTGGTGGTGGGAGTGGGGGCACTAGTGGAGGCAGTGGCGGCGGAGGAGGAGGCGGTGGTGGAGGTAGCGGCGGCGGAGGTGGAGCGGGTCGGGGCGGCTCTACGCAGAGGGTCGGCTCCGGTGGTGGTTAGCACCAGCAGCAGCAGCAGCAGCGTACTCGTGAGACCCCTTCCCCCCAGCAGCTTCGTGAGTGGTACACTGCTCGTCAGCGGGGCGGGGGTGCTGGCCCCTGTACCTACGTTCTCCGTACCGGCGACCGCGCGGGTGAGCAGTGTGGGGGGGCGCACTCCACCCAGCGCTGTTTCGGCCGTCTGACGGACGCTTGGCGTCACCAGTTCACTCCTGCGAGTCAGCGAGTGACCCACTGTACCTGTGCTCGGTCGGGCCGTCACTTGGCCACGTTTACCCGTCAGCCGGGGTCGAGCCTGTACACACTGACTACTGAGTCTCCTCCAGTCGCTGAGTCTGCTCAGGTAGCAGCGTCGGGTCAGGTGTTTGCTGCGGCGTCCAGGTCTGGCCCTGAGTCTGCCCCCTGCTCGTGTCGTCTCCTGTCCCACCGGACTCTCCTCTGGCACCACCGCCTTGGTCACCCCTCCCTGCCTCGTCTTCGAGGCATGGCTTCCCGTCTTCTTGTCTCTGGCCTCCCCCGGTCCCTCCCTCCCCTTCCTCCGGGGCCTGCCCCCACCTGCGTTCCCTGCGTCGAGGGGCGGCAGCGCGCTGCTCCTCACTCCTCCGAGTTTCCTCCGACAGAGGCTCCGCTGCAGACGCTTCACATGGACGTGTGGGGCCCAGCCCGCGTCCGTGGGCAGGGTCACGAGCGTTACTTCCTGTTGGTGGTTGACGACTACTCGCGTTACACCACAGTCTTCCCCTTGCGCAGCAAGGGTGACGTCACTGAGGTGTTGATCGCCTGGATCCGCGCAGCTCGTCTCCAGCTCAGGGAGAGTTTCGGCTCGGACTTTCCTGTTCTGCGTCTGCACTCCGACAGAGGCAGAGAATTCTCCTCTGACCTTCTGCGGGCCTTCTGTCGTGCACGAGGCATCCGCCAGACCTTCACGCTTCCGGACTCTCCACAGCAAAATGGGATTGCTGAGCGCCGCATTGGCATGATCATGGACGTCGCTCGTACGTCCATGATCCATGCAGCTGCCCCCCATTTTCTGTGGCCGTTTGCGGTTCGGTACGCGGCGCATCAGATCAACCTTCACCCCCGGGTCTCCATGCCGGAGACCTCCCCTGCTTTACTGTGGACGGGGAAGGTTGGCGATGCGTCTGCGTTTCGTGTCTGGGGATCTCGGGCGTTTGTCCGCGACTTGTCTGCGGACAAGCTGTCCTCTCGTGCTGTTCCCTGCGTCTTCCTTGGCTTCCCTCCTGAAGCGCGAGGCTGGCAGTTCTACCACCCCACCTCGCGCCGTGTTCTGTCCTCCCAGGACGTCACCTTTGACGAGTCGGTTCCCTACTACCGTCTCTTCCCCTACCGCACTGCGTCCCTCCCTCCCCCGCCGCTCTTCCTTACGCCAGGTCCCCCTCCGGTAGACCCCCTCCCCCCTCAGGGTCCTGCCCCCTCAGGTGTGTCCCAGGTAGATGCGGTCGAGCCTGTCGAGGTAGCTGTTGACTCTGGTGCTGCTGGGGGTGCTGAGCCTGGGGGTGCTGGGTCTGGGGGTGCTGCGACTGGGGGTGCTGAGCTTGGGGGTGCTGAGCCTGGGGGTGCTGAGCCTGGAGGTGCTGAGCCTGGGGGTGTTACGCCTGGGGGTGCTGAGCCTGGGGGTGCTGCGTCTCGGAGTGCGGAGCCTGAGGGTGCTGGGCCTGCTCGTGTGGCGTCTGGTGGTGCTGGGCCTGGAGGTTCTTCGGGTGCTTCGTCCCGGCGGGAGCTACTCTCTCCACAGGAGCTGCGTGAGTGGTTTGCCCGGCGCTGGAGGCGTGCTGCTGGAGCTGGCAGTATTACGGACGCTGGAGGTTCTGCTGCTGCTGAGGGTGCTGGTGCAGCGGGTCCCGGAGGTGCTCGTACAGGGTGTACTGGAGCTGCTGGGCCTACGGGTGCTCCTGGTGCTGGAGCTGGTGGTGCTACTGGTGCTACTGGCGTTGGTGCTGCTGGTGCTCCTGGAGCTGGAGCTGCTGCGTCTTCTGGTGGTCCGACTGGAGCTGGAGCTACTGGGGGTGTTGGCACTGGAGGTGCTACTGGCGCTGGTGCTTGTGATGGTGCTGGAGTTGGCGCTGCTGGAGCTGGGGGTACTCCTGGTGCTGGTGCTGCCGTTGGGGGTGCTGGTGCTGTTCCTGCTGGTACTGGTGGCGCTGCGCGGCCACGGCCGTACTTCGTTCCGCTCCTTGAGCAGGTTCTTGGTCTTCCGTCCTCTCTTGGTCCTGCTCCTGGCTTAGAGTGTCCACCTCCTGACTAGTCTGAGTCACAGTTACAGCCAGCCTCCCCGCTTCCTTCTCCTTCTCCCTACACTGGTCCTACTGGAGGTCTTGCTGAGCGTCGTGAGCCTGCGTCTCGCCCTGCGTCGCCTGTCCGTGCTGCTCGCACTAGTGGTCGTGGTTCGCGTCAGCGTCCTCCTCCTGTCCCCGGCACGCACCGGATGTCTCTGCGTCCTTCCACTGCTCCACTGCGTGCCCCTTTGCCTTCTCCTCCCGAGTCCTCTCTTCCTGCACTTGCTGACCCGGAGTCGGACTCCCTTCGTGCTGCGCGTCCTACTGTCACGCGTCTCCTTGCTACTGTCGTCACTGACCCTTCCTTTGAGTCTACTGCTGCGTCTGCCCTAGTTGCTGAGCTTGTCGACTTCGCTGCTCGCTGTCGCCTAGACTACGCTGCCAGTCTCGTCGCTGAGTCTGAGTCTGTCTGTCCTCCGTCCGTCGGGGGTGAGTGTGCTCTTGGCACGGACGTCCTTGAGGACAGGCAGGAGGAGTTCCAGTGCTTGGCTGCTGCTTCACCTCATCTCGTGTCCATGCTGCTTGCCCCTGAGGGAGACCCGGATGCACTTGACATCCCGACTCCGCGCTCTTACGCGGAGGCGATAGAAGCGGGTCCTTACTCCTCTCAGTGGCAGGCAGCCATGGACGCAGAGATGGCTTCTTGGAAGTCCACAGGCACCTACGTTGACGAGGTTCCCCCGCCTGGGGCGAACATCGTCAGTGGCATGTGGATTTTCAGGGTGAAGCGGCCGCCGAGTTCTCCGCCTGTCTTCAAGGCGCGTTACGTGGCTCGTGGCTTCAGTCAGCGGCAGGGAGTTGACTACTTTCAGACCTTCTCTCCCACCCCGAAGATGACCACTCTTCGGGTACTGCTGCACATAGCCGCTCACCGAGACTACGAGCTGCACTCTCTTGACTTCAACACTGCTTTCTTGCAGGGCAGCCTGCACGAGGAGATCTGGCTGCGCCGCCCACCTGGCTTCACTGGGACTTTTCCTCCTGGCACCCAGTGGAGCCTCCGGCGGCCAGTCTACGGTCTCCGCCAGGCGCCTCGTGAGTGGCACGACACACCGAGGACTACACTTGCGGCTCTTGGGTTTGCTCCTTCTACTGCCGACCCGTCGCTGTTTCTGCGCACCGACTCTTCCTTGCCGCCGTTCTACATCCTCGTGTACGTCGAAGACTTGGTCTTTGCTACAGCTGACACTGCTGGACTTGCCTACGTGAAGTCCGAGCTGCAGAAGAGACACACGTGCACAGACCTGGGTGAACTGCGCAGCTACCTTGGCTTGCAGATCACCCGGGACAGAGCACAACGCACCATTACCCTGACTCAGTCACACATGGTGCAGCAGGTCCTTCAGCGCTTCAGCTTCACGTACTCCTCGCCTCAGGCCACTCCTCTGCCTACACGCCACTCGCTCTCAGCTCTGCCTTCGGATGAGTCCGTAGAGTCGAGTGGCCCGTACCCAGAGCTTGTTGGCTGCCTCATGTACCTGATGACCTGCACTCGACCTGACCTTGCATACCCTCTTAGCATTCTGGCACGCTATGTTGCTCCTGGGAGACACAGACCAGAGCACATGGCTGCAGCGAAGAGGGTGTTGCGCTACTTGTGCAGTACGTCGGGCATGGGGCTTGTGCTTGGAGGGCAGAGTCCAGTGGTCCTCACTGGTCACGCAGACGCTTCTTGGGCTGACGACCAGGCTACGCAGCGATCGTCACAGGGTTACACCTTCAGCCTTGGTTTCAGCTCAGTTTCGTGGCGTTCTACACGCTCGTCTTCAGTTCTTGGCTCCAGTTGTGAGGCTGAGATCTACGCAGGGGCCATGGCTGCACAGGAGCTACGCTGGCTCACCTACCTGCTGACTGACCTGGGAGAGCCGCCTCGTTCTCCTCCAGTGCTGTACGTAGACAACAAGGCCATGCTGGCCTTGTGTCAGGAGCACAGAATGGAGCACAGAACGAAGCACATCGCTCTTCGCTACTTCCTTGCTCGTGAGCTGCAGCAGCATCTTGCTTACGTGGCCTCTCAGGCCAACACTGCTGATATCTTCACTAAGGCACTCGCGCCTTGTGATCATCAGCGCTTCTGTACTCTGTTAGGTCTTGTGCCTACCTTGCCTCACTTGCTCACTTCTTGACCTTGCTTGTACTGTTACATATATATATACCTGCTCTTGCTTGTTTAGCGTTATATATATGTAATCTTGCATGTGAACTGGCCTTGTGGCCTTGAACTTGTGCTCAGAATGTGTGGTGACGTTGTGATCCACCCTGAGCTTGCTTTGCCTTGCTTTGCTTGACTGGTCTTGTGACCCCTTGTTCTCCCCCACTTTGCCTATGGGGGTGTGTCAAACTCATATACTATAGTCTGTGTAGGCTGTAGTGGGGTAGCTTACATGGGGTACAACACTTTAGGGTTTGGTACTTGTACTCCTCATGCTGCTCAATGCATCCATTCCTCGTTTCTTCACACCACCTTCCCATGTCCGGTTCTTTCGCCATTCCTTGTTTTCTAATCACGAATTGAAATTAGTAGCCTCTTAACCGAGCTTCCTTCTTGACCGAGTTCCTATGCTATTCATCTGGTACTTTAGGTGAGATAATGGCATATTAGTTTAGTTCATATTAGCCAGCTATCACTATGGCCAATCCACAAATTCTCTGTCAATTTAGTAGTTATGCAATGCAATCCGTGGCAAGTCCCTTTGTAGCTGCAGTTCTTCCTAGAAGTGCCGCTGAAGCTACCTCAAACCCGGCTGTGGGTACCTTTGGCTCTCCGGTAGCCATCGCGATGCACAGCAATGGGCTAGCACAAGACGTTTCCAAGGACGACGTGTTTTCTGAAGGTGCGTGACACTACTCGTAGCCATTTTTACAAAAAAATGACATGCACACTGATGGGTGAAACGACTTAACCCTACTCCACAGCTTCCAAATTTGCGCCGCTGAACTATGTGTCGTTCACGGGTGGTACTACCAAGCGCCAGAACCGTGCAAGGAAAACTAAAGAAGGGCGGAAGGGGAAACGCACTACACACGTCCGCAACAACAAGAAAGGCTGCGCTTATGCGCTTGCTAATGGCGGTTGTGGAGCAGACAAAGACACTCAAGACAATGGACAACATGCACCTGAAGCCTCCATTTCAGGTGCAGCCGTCACCCTCTCTCCCCTCGCAGCCTATGTCAACAATGCCGCTCAGCATCTCACAGCCGCCAATCAGACAAGCCCTGTCATTCCCTCCGCCCTAGCTTTCCTCTCAACTGCTGCTGCCACGCTCTCTCCTTCCTCCACCTGTCTGAACCCTTCCGCTCAGCATCTCACCGCCCCATGCCAGTCAAGCCCTGGCCTCCTCTCCGCCTCCGCCTCCCTTTCTGCTGCAGCCGGCACTCTATCTCCCTCCACCGCCTATGTCAACAATGCTGCTCAGCATCTCACTGCCCCATGCCAGTCAAGCTCTGGCCTCCTCTCCGCTTCTGCCTCCCTTTCTGCTGCAGCTGCCTCGCCCTCCACCTCCGCCCTGTTATGGACCTCTGCTCAGTACCCCACCTCCCCTTCTCAGTTAAGGCCAGGCCTCCTCCCAAATGCAGCTGCCCGGCTCTCTCCCTCCGCTGCCTATGTGCACTTCTCTGTTCCTGCACAGTCCAGGCCAGCCGTCCCACCTGGATCCACCTCGCCGCCACCTACCCTCAGTGCTCTCTCACCCTCAGCCCCCTATGTCAATCCTGAGTTGCAGCCAACCAACTCTCCTCAGCCTGGCACCAATCTCATCCCACCAGCATCTGCAGCCCCTACTACTGCAATGGCGCCCCCTGCCACACAACTGCAACCGTCCGGACTCCCATGGACACTTCGTGCGCGGAAACGGAAGTCCGCTCTCCCAGGCCCTGCACCATCACCTGTGGAGGATGGGTTGGATGAAGACTCTGACAATGATGACTCTTTGGAGAATCAAGTTGAGCATGGTGGTGAACAGCGGCCTGCTGCAACCAGGGTTTCGCGAGTCGCATATGAGGCCGCGCAAGCTCAAATCCGACAACAGGCACGACGCATAGCTGAGCTGGAAAATCAGCAACGTCCGCAAAAAGGCGCTCATGCTGGCAGTCACGCCATGGTTCAGCGCCCGGCTAATGTGCCCAGCCCTTCACAGCAGTTGTCGGTTGCACCCCAGCTTGCTCCTTCAACCTCTCAACCTTGCAACCAGCCCAAGACAACATCCCCCCTGATTCTCTCACCGGTGGTGTGGCCACGAACGCAGGCCACTTTTAGCCGTGCTGTGGCAAGGGCCCACATCAAACGGCAGGCCATCGACTGCTCTGCAATGTCGCCCACGGCAATGCGGGTGGTATAATAACGTCATCACGGCGTTACATGCTTTCCCGGATGTGCACGAGGACCTTAAGGTGAGCAGCAACCATTCGTTTGAACGTTCGTCGTGCTTTCAAATGTCGTAAGCATAGAGACTCGAATATGGCCGCGGGAATAATGTAGCATTGGGTACCTACATCTCCCACCCCGCAGACTCCTCATGCCACATGCATTCACGCCCTCCCTTCCCTCCGCTGTTCTCTCTCCCACTCTGCCTTTTTGTGTACTGTTTTTGTTGCTCTCCTGCAGGACCACGTGGATGAGGCTCTTGATATCATGTTTTTTGACACCCCAGTCACTGATTTTTCAATGTGGCCTAGTACCGAACGCCTAGAGGCAGCCTTGCGCAAGGCCCTAGGCCTCACTGAGCCGGAGGAGCATTTTATCGTGCGTATTGTTCTGAAAGCTGACAAGTACAGGAACGGCTACATCCGTGACATGATTCAAGTGTTTTGCAACGATGCAGGCACAATTGGGTGTACGACGACTTCGACTTGTGCGTGCCGAGGCCAAGGCCCGGTGGGAAGAGAGTAGGCACCCTCATGACCGTGCTGTTCTTGAGCACGCATGCTGAAAGTGAGTATGACTTCACACTCCTATCATACCCCCCCCCCCCCCCCCCCCCCTCCTACCACACCCTCGTTCCTCCCTCTCCTCCCACCATAGAATGAAACCTTTTCAACCCTTTGACACTCTATTCTAGACGCTGTGCTGTTCTAATGTTTGGTTGAGGACTTTCCTTCTTTTCTATCCATGCAAAATCACACAAATCCACGTCAAATATACCCCTTTCCCTGCCCATTCAGTTTTTTCCCCATGCCCTTCCTCCACCCCACGTCAAAATCCTTCACTCTGTTAACATTTCGGCATCAGGCATCTGCTGTTCATCATTTGTCCATTGTTCCCTGACTCAGTGTTGCACCTACATCACCCTCCTCCTTCCCCAACCCCTACCCCTCTTCCTCCTCCCCCCACCACCTCTCCGTCCACCTTTCTCCTGTGTACCCTCTTTCCTGCTAGTACCCTCCCTGACATCCCTTCCCCACAGAAGCAAACATTGTCTGTATAATCCCGGCCCAGCTGTCCCCAGTGTACCCCCGTTCCCTCCCTGTTTTCCCCTCCCCACCCCAGCAGCAAGCAAAGCCAGCAAAGTCACAGCCCAACAGTCCCCAGTGTACCCTCGTTCCCTCCCTGTTTTCCCCTCCCCACCCCAGCAGCAAGAAAAGCCAGCAAAGTCACAGCCCAACCGTCCCCAGTGTACACTTGTTCCCTCCCTGTTTTCCCCTCCCCACCCCAGCAGCAAGCAAAGCCAGCAAAGTCACAGCCCAACCGTCCCCAGTGTACCCTCGTTCCCTCCCTGTTTTCCCCTCCCCACCCCAGCAGCAAGCAAAGCCAGCAAAGTCACAGCCCAACAGTCCCCAGTGTACCCTCGTTCCCTCCCTGTTTTCCCCTCCACACCCCAGCAGCAAGCAAAGCCAGCAAAGTCACAGCCCAACAGTCCTCAGTGTACCCTCGTTCCCTCCCTGTTTTCCCCTCCCCACCCCAGCAGCAAGCAAAGCCAGCAAAGTCACAGCCCAACAGTCCCCAGTGTACCCTCGTTCCCTCCCTGTTTTCCCCTCCACACCCCAGCAGCAAGCAAAGCCAGCAAAGTCACAGCCCAACAGTCCTCAATGTACCCTCGTTCCCTCCCTGTTTTCCCCTCCCCACCCCAGCAGCAAGCAAAGCCAGCAAAGTCACAGCCCAACAGTCCCCAGTGTACCCTCGTTCCCTCCCTGTTTTCCCCTCCCCACCCCAGCAGCAAGCAAAGCCAGCAAAGTCACAGCCCAACAGTCCCCAGTGTACACTTGTTCCCTCCCTGTTTTCCCCTCCCCACCCCAGCAGCTAGCAAACGCCAGGATAGGCCCAGCCTGCCAGTCCTATGTGTACCTTCTATCCTCTACTTTGCCTAACTAATAATTCACATTACAGCTGTTTCACAAAGTATCATATCTTTCCCCTACGACACAACAGGCCCTGCGTCGTACGACATGCTTACTTGGCACATGAATGAGCACCGTGTGCCGTTTTCATCAACTTGCTTTATAGATGCAATCAGCGCCTCGTTCAAGCGACCCCAAGGTCCAGGCTTATTCTCCCGCTGAAGTTACTAGCATTTTGGCTGAATGGGGTGAGTGCAGTTTGCGGCATCTGCTACATGATTCCTTCAGGTTTTCTAGTGCATACACTAATCATGGTGTTTCCTACAAACTCAGTTGGAGCACCGCGTCATCCACGGCAGTGATTTGCCGAGAAGCACCAACGACAACAACCGCGATGTGAACATTTATTATAACAAGATTTGGAACTGGACAAGAGCTGCAATCGGAGGAGCAACGGCCGCAAATGGTCCCTGGTGCTGGCCGGGTGTTGGGGCATGGTCATTCGCGCGCAGGCGATATTTTTTTATTAGTGTTGAGGGTCTCGAGGGCCTTGTAGCTAATGCTTTTACGTATTGATTTTGGTGTTTTGTCAAATGTAGCACTATTTGCTGTAGGTTTTTTATGCTACTGGTATATTGCAAATCATTAATTATGCTTTTAATAAAACGATTTGAAATTTGTATAACGCTTATGTAAAATAACAAAAATGATTTAATACAGTGAAATATGAAGAAACGAATGGGAACTAATAAAATCGCGTAACAATTATTTCTGTATAGCGAGCTCTTTGCTGCTGCATATCAATTGTATTACCCGCTCGTATTTCGAAATAGTCACAATTTGAATTGCGCGG